CACAGCGACAGTGCCAGTGTGGAGGACAGCACAGCGACAGTGCCAGTGTGGAGGACAGCACAGCGACAGTGCCAGTGTGGAGGACAGCACAGCGACAGTGCCAGTGTGTAGGACAGCACAGCGACAGTGCCAGTGTGTAGGACAGCACAGCGACAGTGCCAGTGTGTAGGACCGCACAGCGACAGTGCCAGTGTGGAGGACAGCACAGGTATGACTGGGACCACGAGAACGTGAAAAACAGGAGACTACCTCCCCTCCCCTGCCTCCCGTTACTGTCTGACCCTGCCTGCTTCCTCTCGCTAGAAATGCATGTAACAGGTGGCTCTCAAAACAGGACATCAATGCATCTAATGAAACACCATGCATGAAATAATTCCACAACGCAGATGCCATTTTCATTTTACCGGTGAAACACCAGAATGCATGCACAGTTTATGCAACACCGTTGTTGACTCATTCAGTTACTAACCCTAGCCCCACAAAAGGCGCATGCGTGGTCACGTGATCCGCGCTTCGCGTTCGCCAAACTTTTGTCATCAAATTGGTAATCTGATTTTGTGCCTTATATGATTAATTAAACTAATTTAGTCTGGTATCTGAAACATTAAAAGACTATTCAACTGCAGTTTGTTTCGGTGGCGTCAAACAGACTTCCCAGATCAAGATTTAACACTAATTAGCCATTTAATTAAGCGCAGAGCACTCATTGATTCATAACACTCATGGTTGATTGAAACTGAACATATTATACATATATTAAATAAATGGTCCGTAACATAGAATGTAGAACTTAAACAGCTGGCAAGAAATTTAAGTGTCGCATGTAAGAGTTAAAAAGTACGTCTTACCAGATTAAGGACAGTTTCCACAATGTCCCTTTTAGAAACCTGTCCATCTTCCACCAAACTATGCAAGACAGCAAATTTCATCCTGATTCCTCGGTTTGCGACTCGGGAGCTGGAGCACAAAGCCCCCGCTTCTTGGAGCGGCTCCATCCGGCCCCCCGTCGGAGGCTGCCGGCCGGCCATCGCCATGCTTAGCGGCTGCAAATATGACAGAAACCGGCAGAAGGACCTTGGAGGGAGCTGTCCGAAATGGGGACACTAAATATCCGAATCACTCAAAAAGTATATGCGTTTCTCGGTTACTTATGCAATTTAATACAACCAGAACTTTTAAGGGCTAATAACAGGCCGACAGTATAAATGTAGCGAATGACAAATTCCCGAAGATATCGCGACTTAAAAAAAAGTAGCCCAAAAATGGGAAAAGCCAAAAAAACGTGAAAAAAACCAAAGGGAGACGCTTTCGGGTTTCTATGTAATTCTTTTCCCAGTAAAAGTCGTCAAACAATAAAACTATGTATTTTTTCTTCTCCAGTAAGAGCACTTCTGTTGGACCGCCACTGCAGCATCCCTCTCATAATGAAAGCAGATGAAAAGATCCGTCACTGCGAACGCATGGGCGCACGCATACAGTGCGCGCAAAAGTTTATACCTAATAATAACAAAATAAAACAGTGTTGAGACGTAATTTGCTGGTGTTTTACTAACAAGAAAAGACCACATGCAGTTTACTGTTTTGCTGCCGAACTAGCAAAAAACCCCATTTAAACCACGCTTAATAGCAGCTCCCACCCGCTTCACATCCTGCTGGGGTGAAGGGTCCCATGAAGGGTGGCGCCTGCGCACTGAGCCGGCACCGGCCGGGGGAGGGTGACAGGTGTACCCAGGGCTGGGGTGACATTATAAATCGGCCCTGAACTTTGAGATCCCTCTCGGTAACTTTTGCGGGGGGAGGGGTCTCCTATGATACATTTTACCTAAAGCGGGGATGTCAACTACGATACCTTCTGCCGGCCCACATACCCATCTTGCCGCCGGGAAAATGCCCGGTTTGCCAGACGGCTGGTCCAGCTTGGGGGGAACCCTATAGGTACCCTCTGTGGATTTGCCAGAATAATAATAATAATAATAATAATAATAATAATAATTAACAATACATTTCTATTTTTTCCAAACTAAGACACTTTAAAATAAAGCATTATTTCCAAGCCAAACATAGGTCTTCATGTAAACTACGGTGTCCCAGTATTGAAGAATAAAACAAAATAGTGCATACATCATGCTATTAAAACCCTTTAACAAAAAAATAAAAATAAAAAATTGTCCAAATAGGTAAATTACATTGACATAACGCATCTTCCGTAAGCACTTATACAGAACAGGGCTGTTTCAGTGATCAGAAAGCGACACTCCGGACAGCGTGTCTGTATATCGTGCGGCAGCCACAGCACACTAAGGGCAGCTGACAGGTTCATCCTACTTCTCCCGGCAAGGAGTAGCGCGCCCACTTCTGGCGGTAGGACGCCTAGCAGGTCAGAGCTGACGTCTCCTTCACGCATCTGCTGCTCCCGGGTATCCCGGGGATCCCGGGCTCGTGCATGTGTCACACTCTCAGCACCGAATCGATGGCGCGCATTAGCGATCCTGGTCGGATGAGGCCGAATGCAAGACAGATATTCAGTGTTTATGGTGTTATTGCTTGGAGAGTCATTTCCTCTTCACTTTGTGGCATTCAGTGTTATTTTATTATTATTACCTGATGCAGCTGTTGAAATTCGTTACAAAACTGTTGACTGAGTCTTCAGCAGACGTGCCAGTAAGGATCTCCTATGACCATAAGCTTGATCTTATCGCTTAGTTCTGGCGCGCCAGCTTTTGCGTCCAATCTTTCACCATTATGCCTTCTTGTGCACGCAATGTCTACTTCAGCGCTCAGAGATAACCCCATTTTCATTTCCCAGCTGGTTTTTATCAGGGAGAAATATGCCATTGCGCAAATGTGTGTTTTTTTTGTTTCCATGTAATGGACGGCAGTCAGCGAATGTATCGGCCATATAAATTAATTGAAGTATTTCACACACGTGCCCTAATCTTTCTTTCACATACATTAAGTCAAACTTAAGGTAAAACATGGATAAGAGCGGTGTCGCTACGGTTATCAATATTATCATTTGCTGGGGTAACTGAGGGTTACGGATTGTTATAACCTGCTGACAAAAACATTCGTTATCTACTTCAGGCAGAAATTAACTAATAATTTTAAATATACATTTTTTTCACGACAAAATTATGCATAATCGAATAGATATTTCACTCAAGTAAAGTGTTCAATAGATGAGTGATTTCGGATACATTAAATAAACATACTGTACTTATACAGACACACCCCCTAAAGCTGCACCCTACATCACCGGCCGCAAAGTGGCGCCGTTACTGTGAGCTCGCGAGACTTCAGCACTTCTCGGCCGAAACACAAATCTCGCGATACGACGATTCATCTTCCTTTTCCGCTTCCTAAAGGCCACCATGGCGGTCGGCAAGAATAAGAGACTGACTAAAGGCGGCAAGAAAGGTGCCAAGAAGAAGATGTAAGTTGTCAGATTTTAAGCCTGGGGAAGAGACTATGCTTTCTTTGTCTTCTGCCCTTTCCGCCGGTTTTTCGGATAAAGGATGGTGTTGATACTCGTTAGATTATCTTGCCCCCTCCCGTGCGGTCGCCGGCACATACTCTGTACAAATGGCTACCGACACTGTAAGTCTTGAGCAGAATCTGTTTATAGTCTGTTTGCCTGCTTGGAACCCAAACTGACGCAGGATTTAGCGTTACATTGGCCCGTGGCTGCTGACTGTTCACTGCGCTGAGGGCCAGCCTGGTTGTGTGTGGGCCTTCATTTTGCCCCTTCATTCATAGCTTTAACTGTTCGCTGCGGCTTCGCCATATTTTTAAAAGCTATGTATGTCATTACTTCGGTAAATCTGTAATCTTAGACCGTAATCGGATCTTTACTTTTTTGGCGCTCAGGAAGCGAGTATTGCTTACTGATGTAGTTGATCTAGTCCAGGGCTATTCAACTCACGGTCCTCAAGGGCCTTGTCCTGCTGATTTTCCAGCCTTCCTTCACCTGTGAGCCAGGTGTGAAGCCTCTGACCAATCAAAATCAGTAATTATTAAACGAACTACCTGGGAGAACTGAACAAGGCCTGGATTTGGAATCGAGGGCCTGAATTGAATAGCCCTGATCTAGTCTGCTGCTTGTTCGGAGAAAACTAGTTACTGCTGAATAGTGTGATTAAGGTTTGGTGTAATTATATGAATATCCGTCAGCTGACATAAACAATAGTTTGACACATTTTCAAAACCAAGTTTACAAAGTCTTGTTCCTTGTATTACGTGTGTAACTTGTGAGACTTGGTTTATAACTCTTAATTCCGGACATTCAATGTAACTGTTACACTTTCCCCCCCCTTCAGTGTCGACCCTTTCTCCAAGAAGGACTGGTATGATGTCAAGGCACCAGCCATGTTCAACATCCGCAACCTGGGAAAGACTCTGGTCACCAGGACACAGGGAACTAGTATGTTTGTGTTTTTCTACCCAGAGCTCAGCTGTATCTAGAGACTGGTTACTGTACACCCTGTGCTGTATTGAGATGTCACTGATGAATGCCCTGGGAACACGTGATTACAACAGTTTCGGTCCCAAATGAACACAGTGATTACTTTGAGATCTTCTGATGTTTCCAGTATAGGCGCTGAGTGCAGAATGCTAACCTGCGGCGTGTCAGGAAGATTAACACTCTCTCTCTCTCTCCTTGGCCAGAAATCGCCTCAGACGGTCTGAAGGGCCGCGTGTTTGAGGTGAGCCTAGCGGACCTGCAGAACGACGAGGTGGCCTTCCGCAAGTTTAAGCTGATCACAGAGGACGTCCAGGGCAAGAACTGTCTGACCAACTTCCACGGAATGGACCTCACTCGCGATAAGATGTGCTCCATGGTTAAGAAATGGCAGGTGGGTTCTCACTTTCCTACCATGCTGGGTGCTTTCAGTGACGGGTAACTGACGACTTTGCAATTTGCATAGCTGTGTGAGAGCCAGCTTGCTTGGGATTTAATGGCAGCTCTTGCTGGATTCTCAGCCTACGTTCAGTGGCTTTTTAAACCTCTTCACCTGGGAGCGTATGATAAGTTTCGGTCCCAAATGAACATGTGATTACTGTAATGAGATCTTCTGATGTTCCCAGTTAAGGAGTAATTCAAGCTTTCATGCTTTGGATAGTAAAGTCTGCTTGTTAAGTTCTTTAAATGTGTAATGTTATGAATTGTGCTTGGTCAGCCTGTGCTAAAATGTTTCCAAAACACCCACTCTTGTTGTAGACCATGATTGAAGCACACGTCGACGTGAAGACCACCGACGGCTACCTCCTCCGCCTTTTCTGCGTCGGCTTCACCAAGAAACGCACCAACCAGATTAGGAAAACCTCCTATGCTCAGCACCAGCAAGTGCGTCAGATTCGCAAGAAGATGGTGGAGATCATGACCCGTGAGGTGCAGACCAATGACCTGAAGGAAGTCGTCAACAAGCTGTAGGTGCCTCGTTTGCTCGCTTTGCATCTTGGCATTTTTTGTCTGGTTGTTGTAATGTGGAAAGATGTCGGACTTGGTGCAGGCTGACGTGAAATGTCACCTTGATGACTACTGGTGTTTACCTAATCCAGCCACTGCTGTGAGTGACGTAGACCTCTGCTTGGTTTTGCAGGATCCCGGACAGTGTTGGCAAAGACATTGAGAAGGCCTGTCAGTCCATCTACCCTCTGCATGACGTCTTTGTCAAGAAGGTCAAGATGCTGAAGAGACCCAAATTTGAATGTGAGTTCACTTAGCTGGTCTTGGCAAGCACTGGTTCACTGACCAACCATTGTATGTCATCTTATTTATCACTAGTCTGACCTTGCACCTTCGTGTTCATGCTGACGGTCAGCCATTGCCGAGTGGTATTTTCTGAGTGTTCTGTAATCGGTGTATTGAATGGAATGTTGGTTTGCAGTGGGCAAACTGATGGAGCTACATGGCGAAGGGGCAAGTAGCAGCACGAGCAAGACCACCGGAGACGACACCGGTGCCAAGGTGGAGAGAGCCGACGGCTACGAGCCCCCTGTCCAGGAGACTGTCTGAGCTCCAGTAGGCAAGCGATCAATAAAGCATGTCAACCTGAAACATTGTTTCCGTGCGTTGTGTGTGTGTGGGGGGGGGCATTTTCCTGGGGCTGTAACTGAATGATCAGGATAAGTTTCATAACTTGCTCTTAGTCTGAAAGCTGGTTGTTAGCCATCCAGTCCGACTTCTTCTGTGAGCAGTGGTGGCTTAATGGTTAGGGAAGCACACTCGTGATTGAAAGATTGCAGGTTCTAATCCCCGACCAGCAAGATACTGCTCCCCGGGCGCTGAATTTCGGCAAATATGAGAAGTACAGAACTTCAATATAGATGTCAGGGTTCTTACACCCGTATGAAGAGTCTCATCCCAAACCTAGGAGTGGTGGTGTGTTTGTGGGGGGCGCGATTTATTACACTCACACTGGGGAAATGCACGTTGTCACCCCACATGCCATAACTGATTGGCTAACTATCCCAAATGTGAACGGAAACAAGATGTCTAATGTGTGCAGTCATTCAACATTAGCTGACAACTCGCCAGTGTTTGTAAACGGCAGGCAGAAGCACTGGTGTCTCGTCACAGCCAGGGGGGCGCTGACAAACCCCCCCCCCCACTTCTACAGGTCACCCCTTCTAAAAATGTGGAATTTTAGAATGGAACCCCGGGAGGCGCAATAGTAGATGTATAAGGTGCCACGCATTAAACAACAAGGCCGGTATGGTTTGACAAAGTTCTTTACTGTGTTGATCCACCAGGTGGCAGTATACTGGTAGGCATTTTGGTAATGCTGAAACAGCATGGAAAATGGGCAAATGCAACTTTGTAACAGGGCGAGTAAAACCTGTTAACATTCAATGTCAATACAAGTATCCTAAAACATCAGCATGGTATCGCACAAACATCAAAAGAAAGTCCATTTAAAACAATTAAAAATCCTATAACTGCTTCCAGTTTTTCTTGAAACCAGAGCTACATTTTTGGTCAGCATGAATGTACCCCCTCCAGTTTAAAGCTTGAGGTCACCTCACTTCAGGAAATGCTGTAATTCCACCTCTGGCCTCCTGAGATCAGTTTTAGGTTAAAAGCTTTTGTTTCAACAGGCAATGAATTCAAACGTGTACATCCCACACTTAACCTGTAGAAAAAAAACCCAATATTAGTCGTCAACTAAAAACCTAAAAAGGAACTGATTTAAATTACACACCAGGACACCAGCTCTGTGCTCCCGTAACACCTGACCTGGCTACAAAGCTGCGGTTAGCGGTTTCGTTTTTTTTGTTTTGTTACAGTGTATCAATGTAATTTAACAAGATTTTAGTTAATGCAATTTTATACAAGTGACCCTGACTTCATAGTCCAGTCACAATAGTACTTATGACATTTTAATCCCTAAAATTTGGATTATTGGATTTTAGTCTCTTTAAAGACCCAGAGGAGCCCTGATTTTGTGGTCAGTTCCCCAAGATTCTGTACGGAGGCGCTCACCTGTACGGATCTGGACAAACGCCTTCGGGAACAGGCCTTCCTTGTCATTGAGCCGCCCACAGCACCAGTCGGCGTCGACGTGTCGCGTGATCAGGATGTGTTCACCCTGCTGGAAGGGCAGGTCTTCGTCCGTCTGGCCGGTGAAGCTATAGAGGGCCACGGCCCACTCTGTCCCAGCAGGTCCCGCCTGGGACCATAAATGGTGCAAGTTGCAGGCAAGTGGAGCAAAACAGAACCACAGAACCCTGCTGTGGTCACTCTTTAAGCGATTTGCTAAAAAGCAGTCAGGGGTACCAATGTCATGGGCTGGCCCAGGGTCCTGAGCAGCCATTTTGCTCAGTTACGCCTTGGCCTGGCCCTGCCTGTATCACTCGTAATATGCGTTTAATTCACGCTTTCATTTATCTTTACTGAAACAGCCCATAAACACGGCCACTGGAGATGCATGGTCGCATGCACAGCTTTCACCTTTGACCCGCCTGCACATCCCAATCCAAACATGCTGTGGCAGTGGGACGGGGGGGGGCCCTGACTCAGTACCACGGCAGCTGAGGTGACACCGTGAGCATTACCTGATTGGGGTCAGCGACGTCCTTGTTCCTGAGCAATGAACTCGTGTCTATGGAAGCAATCAATCAATCAAGACAGACATCAGCGGCTGCACACATCACAATCAAGGTTTCAAGAGTCAAATTCTGCTGCTGCACTGTGATGTGCAAGTGTCCACAAACACATGGGTGGTAACTGCAACACTTGCTGACATGAAAGGTTTTTAAAAACATGACACTTTGACAAACAAAATCAAAATCAGTTTTCTTTGATGGGCTAATATGTCAGCATAGAATTGTATGTTTTCATACAAGGTCCTTTTGGCATGATGTCTCCTACCTGGCTTAGTCTGTCCACCCGGCTGCAGTGCTGCATCTGGAAGGTCTTCCACAATTTCCACAAAGTTGAGGGGGAAAATGCCCACGTGGCCATTGAGGTCTCCACGGGCCCATTGCTGGTCCACAAACTCCTTCAGCCTGATGACATCACCCTCACACAGAGACAGCTCATCACTGTGCTTCCCTTCAAAGCCAAACCGTGCAACACACCTCGGGCCACTGGATGACAGAGCCGAACAAATCAGAATGAAGCCGGTCATCAAGTCCAGCACCTTCAAACACCCTCAACACCTCTGAACTGCGATTCTGACCATGAAACCATAATCATGATATAAAACTCATTAAGAGTCACGAGAGGACCTGAAACAGTCTACATTTCAGTACAGAGTACATTTCAGAAGAGCACACTTGAGCATGTAAGCTTTCATTTGTAAGCTCACCTCACTGTTTGCGTTGCATTAGTTCCACTGGATGGAGCTGGGAGACATGACTAATGGGGAATGGAGAAGACAGACACAAAGAGAGAGAGAGAGACCCCAACTTTAAGTCCACCGAAAACCACAATTCCCAGGTTGCCACATTTATCGCAGTGTTGTGACTCACCAGCACTCTAACGTGATTGACAGGGAAAATGCCAGAAAGACCCCCACAAGTTCCACGGTACCAGTCGCTGTCCACCTTCTCCACGTTGGAAACCGCATCACCTATCTTTAGGGCAAGTTCCCCAGGACCTGCTGACAGGAATACGTCATGATAACTAGGGTTGGAGCAGCAGGCTGAGTGCTGCACACCATGCAGGATCTATCTACCTAGAGAGACAGGACTTTGATGATTACACAAAACTGCCATTAATGATTCAGAGGACCAGACAGATCATCTCTTACAATTAGCTTTCAAATGGTTAACTAATTGATACCTGAGAGTCTTAGGACAAACGCTAACGTCACTTACCTGGTGAGAAATCGTGCAGCACCTCCACCTGCAGACCAGGTCCGGCTTCCTGAACGTGTCCCGGTTCAGGAACCTGAATGCAGGACCATCATCACAAGAATGACACACAGGTCTACGGCTTCAGAGCTAGCAGGCGAACTGCAGGAGCAGCTGACCCACTGCAAGAAGCGACTGACAACCACGTAAGGAATAAAATCCACAGTCTCAAGTGAATTTTGACTCTCTGGATACTGAAATGAGACACTATTCAAAAATATATAAAAGTATAACAGAACACAATAGTGATACTGGGGTGCAGCGTAACGCTCAGTGGGCTAAGCCTCTGTGCCTGTGATTGGCTGCCCTTCGCGGCCAGCTTCACCTCTGTGCCTGTGATTGGCTGCCCTTCGCGGCCAGCTTCACCTCTGTGCCTGTGATTGGCTGCCCTTCGCGGCCAGCTTCACCTACAGAGAACAAGTTAGGGTAGGCATAAAGAAATAAAGTACCAATTATAATTATTATATTAATCCCTTTGACTACCGCCTGCTGTTCTTTATGAGACACAGAGGTGAGAGCAAGCTTGGGGGGCACAGCACAGGGTCAGCCAGCCTGCGATATCCCTGGAGCTCGGGGTTAAGGGCCTTGCTGCAAGGCCCACAGACATGTGACTATCCTGCCGAGGCTGGGGCTCGAACTGCGACCTTCCGATCCCAGGCACAGAGGCTGCGCCCATGAGAAAAGGGCCGTACTGTGAGCAGGACACATCAGCCAGCAGCCATTACCTGCACGCCTGGCCTGCTGGAGGCCACAGGGGCGGCGAAACTCTTCACGGGGGGCGGAGCTTCCTTAGCTGTGCTGTCTGCCGACTTGCACTCAGCACTAATAGCGTTGTCTGGCTCGAAATGTATCAAAACCTCATCTTTCTTCAGGAGACACAGAAAAGTCCTGTCATCCTTTCACCCGTCACGATAAAGGGGTTTAGAGAGGAGCAGCGAGGTTAAGCGGAGACACGGTAACAGCTGCCTACCCCCTGCCTTCCGGGGAGCGGGGGCCCGGGGCTCGGCCGGGGGGGCAGGGCGGGGCCCTTCTTCTGAGAGCCCTGGCCTCGTGCCTGCTTGGCTTCCCCCTCAGAGGAGGAGCGGCAGAGGCCGGGCCGGGGGGGCGGCGGCCTGATGGGGACACCTTTGGCTGAGGGGGGGCGAGGCGGCGGCACTTTCACTCCAGCGGGACTGTGTTCGGGGGGGAGGAGTTTGGACACCAGAGGCAGTCTTCAGGACGTCTACACCACTTTCTGGACTTTGCCCCCTAAATCCCCAAATAACCTTCGGCTGATGCCTCAGGCCCATAGCATGCAAGTATAAAGAACAGATGTGCTGCATCCTTGGATTTAAAGGACCAGCATGGTTCTCTTGTAGGACAGAGTCATTTTAAATCAAGCCATGCTAACAGCCGCTAAAATGCTGCTCACATCCACATTACGCTCGTTTTTATCATAATACTCATCAAGAGCCAGAAATCATGATATATTGCAGAACTTTATATAAGCTCTGGAAGGATTGTTATAAACCATGAAGTCAGTGAGAAAGCCAAGTGTTCAGGTGTTGAGGTCAATGTACAATCCTGAACACCGTTAGCTTCGGTCCCGGGTTCCCCCAGTGAGGACCGGCTGAGCACTCACCGAGGGGGGGCGGATTTCTCAGTCAGGGGGCCACCTGGGGACTCCGCTTTGTCCTGAAAAGCGGGCAAAATATCTTGAGAAGAGATACATGTGCTTTGTTTGCCTGTTGTGTCGCCTCGATGTGCATTGATGACACTTATGATTAAGTGACTGACTCAACAGAAACACTGTGGTCACGGAGTGGCTAAATAAAGAACTAAAACACAACAAACGTCATCTAATATAACGGTACGCATACAAAAACACACAAAGAGATGTGGCAAAAAATAATACCCATGTCAATGAGCACTATGTTTGCTGAGAAAGGCACTGCTGCCTTCTCGATACGTCAAAAAGGACAAGTACAGACATGGGCCCTGAAGCCCCAGCTGCATTATGGGAGTTCAGGGCAACCAATGGAATCTTACTGGTGCTCGAGGTGTGGCCTGGGCTTTGCTGGCGGCACTTGGCTTTTGGGACACGGCATGGGTGGGACCACTGACTGGCCTCTCTGCTGGAAGAGGCGGGGGGCTCTCTGCGGACTCGCCTTCCGACGCTGAGGGATGTGGGGAAGACACCGCGGTTACGTCCAGCCAGGCGGGCGGGCATAAGGTGTGTACGTCGCATGCGGTACAGGTCACAGGCAGCGTTACTCACGTCTCCTGGGAATCCTGATGGATGAGGGCTTCCTGGGAACGGCGGGCCGACTCACGTCCTGCCTCACAGCTACGTGAAAACAGGAACCTTGAGAAACGTCAACCAGCCAGCAGAGAAACCGCACGAAAGAGCATAAAGGAACGAAAGGGCTTCCACTCACGGGCACTTCCTGCGTGCTTGTCGTCAGGGCTGGGGGGCGGGGGCTGAGAGCTGCCGGACGGGGGGTCAAAGTTTATCAGGTCCGGAGAGGACGCTTCTTGGCTCTCAGTGTTGCCTGCTTTTCTTTGGGCTGTGCAGCTTCTGGACCTGGGGGCCACTGGAGGGCGAGATGGGCGCCTCTCAGACTGTGACACCGGTGTGTCCTGCAGCTTCGGGTCGGTGGCGGACGCACCAGGGACCGGGGGCTTTGGCCCAGAGCTCGGAGGAGACGACTCCCCACTGTCCGTTAAAGCTGGAGATCCTGCTGACAAGCTACCATCCCCGCACTTCTGGCTGGGTGGCTTGGGGGCGAGAGATGGTTTAGGGGCCACCGCTGGCGGTTTGGGCTGCTGGATGCGAGGCCGCGGCTCTGGTTTCTTACACTCGGTAAACACACTGCTGCCGTCACTCTGCTTCTCGAAGGCCTGGATCTTCGCACGCAAGGCACTCATGTCTGGTTCACTTTCTTTGTCCTGCTCACAGGAAGCGCTCGGGAAACACTGCTCTTCCGGACTGAAGATTTCTAAAAGTTCTTGGAAATACTTACTGGTGGAATCCTCCCCACTTTTAAGGATCAGCGGAGCATTTTCCCCATCATCTTTCAGTCTGACAAGAGTCTGAACTTTGACCTGTTTGGCGACTGGCTGCCGCAAGCGAGGCCGTGGCACTGGACACCTGGCTTCTTCCTTAGCAGGGCAGTCTGCCGAGGAATCGGAAAGAAGAGGCCCACTGGGGTCAAGGAGAGGGTCCAAAGAGATCAGGCATAGCTCAGAGCCGTCTGCTTCCACTGCACAGGCGTCTGCCCAGGGTTTGCAGCTGAAATCAAGGAGGCAGTCTAAAGCTTCTGCTCTGTGGGTGTCAGGGTCAGAATGTTCATCAGATGTCTCTCCTTGAGAAGTGGCAGGGATGTCTGCGGCTCTGCTCGGCTCGGGCAGCAGATGGGCTGGGAGCAAAGGTCTTGGCGGTCTGGGGGGTTTTCTTACTGCAAGCAAAGCAGAGCATCAGTAAAACGTGTAAAGTGGCACATTTGGAGGCAATGAGCCAGAAACAAAGGCCTGCACCCGGGGCCACCCACCCCCGACAGGACGCTCCCCCAGACCCGGGGCCACCCGCCCCCGACAGGACGCTCCCCCAGACCCGGGGCCGACCGGCAGGACGCCCGCCACTTACACTTGGACAGCTGGACCGGAGGGGGACTGACTGACATCACATTGGATTCTGGGTATGGAGTGACAGCCACCGATGGCAGTTCGGTCTGTGTGGCGATGGTGGACGTCCCGTGTCGGCTGTGGGCATCAGGCGGTTGGACCCGCTCCTGCGTCTTCTCCTTAATCACCTGGTCGTAGGACGGCGGAGCCTGCAGGCAGCAGCAAGCAGCTTTAAGCGTGGCCTCCAGGGATAGGAAGATGTGCACAGGCATAGACCAGGCTCCTCACATGTAATTCTCAGGCTCAGGACAAAATTACCCCCCCCCCCACAACAAGGCCCAGGACAAAATTACTGAACACCCCCCCCAACCCAGGCCAAGTTCCCAAGTTGTCCCCCCAAGACAGTGGGCCTGAGACAGACAGCAGAACTCTATCCATTTTACACATTCATACAGCTGGGACTGGACCCAGCGACCTTCTGGGTCGCAAAACCTCGCCTTTAAGAACTGGGCCATCTACTGCTCCTACCTGGCTGGCTGCAGTGACCCCGGCACTCCAGACAGGCGGGGCTGGAGGAGGGGCCGGCAGAAAGCCCCCGTGGGCCCCCAAAAACCAGGAGTTCCTGGCAAGGGGCTCGGCAGACAGGATGGTGATCTCCGGCCTGGAACACAGGACCCCCCCGGCTTCTCAGAAGCTCTATTTTGGTTTGATATTTTGATTAAAATTAAGTGATCTAGATATTTGAACACAGAATGTTTTCTTATCACAAAATAAGAACAAATGTATAGTCAGATATTAATAAAAAGACTCACCTTCTGTCTCTTGTAGTGTCACTGTGGGGATTCGCCCTGGCGGAGGTTGCTGGATAAAGCAGAAAGTGCCGTGTTGGGCTGTGTGGCGACAGCACGAGGCATGCGGGCAGCTGAACGGAGCAACTTAAGTGGCCGCAGGAGCCGATTAAACGTAGTTAGCTTTGTCTTACAAATCGTGTGACTATTTACAATATTCAGTGATAGCTTACAAAACAAGTAACTGGCCACTTCACACAGCAAATAAGCTCTAAAACCAGCCTGTACCACTTGCACAAAATGAGTATGGAAAATGAGCGAGGTACAGATGAATGGGGCAGTAACATCACAGTGTATTTTACAAAAGCGGAAAGTTTGACAGTATAAATGAGACGTGGAAATGCTCACTCCTCTTGATGGCAGCCCGCAGGGATGAGAGCGGACCGGAGCTGAAAGGAGGAACAGGGTGAGGTCAGAGCCGCACGCTCACCGCCCATTTTCCAGGGTCGAGGAGGCGCCGCTCCTTCGTGACGCTGATGAAATGTCTCCACGTCAACCTGGGCCGAGCCCCGGCAGACCACGGGAAGCAGGACGCCAGGACGCCAGGCCCCCCCGGACCCCCGGCCTCAATGACATGGCCTCTTTGTAGTACACGGCCTTCGGCAAATGTGTAATATCTGTGTCTGCAGCTACAGCATTGCTCATTTTAACAGCCTGACTCCGTTTTTATAACCGAAACGCTGTTTCTTTCCCCCCTCCCTCAAAGACGTGTGCCAATGTGAAACAGCACAGCGTTTTAGAGCCTTTTTCCACATCCACAATCAGAAACACGTTTGCATGACGTCGGGGGGGCACAGGAACGTCACGCACATCACCAATCCCGCATCGTTAAAGCATTTCTACAGAAAACCACCCCCAACTGGCCTGCAGCTCAGTATCAGTTTAAAAAAATGTACAATAATATATTAAATGTCACCCCAAATCACCCCAAAATATAAAAACTTTTACTGAGCATACGTCTTTCATGAAGAGAAAAACATCCAAAGCAGATGGAAATAATTATGTATTACAGCCTTTGCAAAGAATGTATTTTGCAATAATTTCTTCTGGACCAAGGGAGACGCAGCACTTTTGTTTTTTACCTGCGACAAACTATATTCTTTAGCATTCAGCACATTTTAAAACAGCAAGGCAGTTCTGTAGCTTATTTTAAATGCTCTGAGTGAAACAAACGCAGATAAAAGTGGGTGACATAGCTAGTTATACTTGCTTATATGACTTACATGGCTGTGAAGATCCAAAGAGCAAGCGACGATGTCCAGCACCAAACCACCAAAAGACAAAGATGTCGATTCCAGAAGTGTCTTATTCTAAGATAATGAGCTGCACTAACTTTAATGACCCCCCCACCTCTCGACAGCGGAGCTCAGGCAAGGCAGCCACCAACCTGGGCCATCAAAAAAAAAAAAAAAAAAATCCAACTTTCAGAGCACAGAGACAGAGAGCGAGTGAGGGGGGGGGAGGAGGGGAGAGAGAGTGCGCGAGGTGGAGAGGGAGAGCGACCAGGGGGGGGATTTCCGCAGCTCACAGCAGAGCAGAGTCTCCATCCCGATGGCTGTCTGTACGCTGCGGCAGGACTGCAAAAGCGAGACCCCTCCTCCCGTAAAAGCAGCTTCCTAAAATTTGAAAAAATCGAAACCAGGAGGAAAAAAAAATCCCAGGGGGCTCTCGAGTGACAACGGTGCCGTCCAGTCAAAATGGCAAGTTTGTGGCTGGTGGGGGAGGGCTGAGGTGGCGAGAACGGCTTCCTGGCTGGGCTGTGGGGGGCAGATGCCTCCCAGTTCAGGGCTCCCAAGTCTGCTGTGTCACTCACAGGAAACATCCACAGCCCGCGGTGCCTCGTTACCAGCCCAGATGTGCAACATCTGGAAAACAGCAGCACCATCTCCCTGCCCCTCCCCCAGCTTGCCTGGGTCATCACTCTGCGGCGAGAAATGTGGGCCAAACTGCCAGTAAACACGGCCGGACCAGAGGTCAAACACCAGAACAGAACCCACAGAGTCCAAATGGACCTGGAGCAGAGAGTACCAACATGAGGACTACTGGTGGCACTTAACATGCATCCAGTTTTCATACCAGTTCAGAGGCACGGGGCCTAGAGGAGAGATCACCTTCAACACCGTTTCCGTCTAGCATTGCAGTTCTATAAATGTCCGCTCATGCCGTTCCGGCCCAGCGTTCCGGTTCTATAAACGCCCGCTCACACTGTACCGGGCTACAGTTCCGATGCTCTAAACGTCCGCTCACGCCGTTCTGGCCCAGCATTCCGGTTCTATGAACGTCCGCTCACGCCGTTCTGGCCCAGCATTCCGGTTCTATGAACGTCCGCTCATGCCGTTCCGGTACAGTTCTATAAACCCCCGCTCACACCGGACCAGGCTATTGTCCTGCTTTTATATACATTGACAGCAGTCACTACATCAGCAGCATCAGAATTTCAACGCAGGCCAAGTAGGAATCATTGAGGTCTCACCTGGGATGGTGCTGATCCGGCTTGTGTCTCCCAGAACGATCTGCGGAGAGAGAGAGAGCTGCCATGGACCATGGATTCTGTGAGAGGAGACCGCCCACTCCCCCAAGGGCCAGGCCCATCCTCATACTGCCCTGGCTGAATAAGGGAGAGCAGGAAACACGCAGCGCCCAGCGAGGGAACTGCCAGTTACAGTGGAAACTGTGATGACAGACGCCAGCTTCTGTGTGAACATACAGACCTGTTCATCAGCAAAGTGGACTTTGCAAATGGAGACCTTACATCCCCCCACCCCTCGCGGCTGAGCCTATTGCATTTACTCCTCTACAGCAGTGTGTCTGAACTCAGTCCTCAGTGACTGGTTCAGGAGTCACTGGACTGAAACACACAGCTGTCATTTGCCGCTTGCTTGCCCGACACACCACCAGGCCGGCGCCTGAAAGGCCCACTTTGTGCCACCCGGAAAGCTCCGGAAAGCTCACACTTCTTCAGATTTGTCACGTTTCTTTTTGAAAAGTGTTGAGTACCTTTCAAATGTTAAGATGTTTTGTTCATAGTATACCAACAAAGAAATGCTTGCCGGCAAACTGGATCCCAAACAAACAAACACCGCTGCCATTTCGAGGTAAATAAAACGGACGGACCATGAGAGTCCTTCTCCTCGGCCCAAAGATAATATACTTTGGCACAAGGGGAAATATCCAATCAAAAAGACGGAGGGACAGCATGGGCTAAAAGGCTGCAAAGTATTATCGGAGTACCTTTGCTGGGGGGTAGCTGGTAACCTGTGAGTGCAAGGGAACCGCTCATTAAATCCTGCGAGGGGGGGGAGGGGGGGGGCTTTCCAGTGACGACGGCCCGAAGCACGCCCCATCCTGGGAGGGAGCCTAAAGTTCAAAGTACTTCCTATTACACAATGAGAGTAGCTCTGTGGGGTGGGACAACAGGCAGGTCCACCCCCCAAACAGAATGGAATCACCCATCTGAAGAAAGTGAGAGCTGAAAATGAGGCTCTGGGGGGGGGGCATCAAACAGCTGCATCCGCATATCTGGCACTGCTGCGACTCTGCAGCAGCTGGCAGCAGTGCCGTACTCGCAGTGGCCGGTGCAGCTGGCAGAAACAAGCCGCCTGCGAGACCACGTGCTCCCCCCATGCAGGGCGGGGACCGACCTGCACATTATCACAGCTTAGCCGAAGCTAAACTTCGGTTTTTGGTCTTTGCTCTTATTTTCATAGTGTGCCTAAAAATAACCAGGATAGACAGTCGCAGAGAGACACGGGAAAGCAGAGCGTACAAAACAGAGCTTTACGGGCTCAGCGAGAGGCAAACAGCGACCATAAATCGCACATCACGTGACAAATCTCAGAAACGCAGAGTGCTGGCCAAGGCTGCAGGAATTCGGAAGTCACGATGCGACGGAAGCAAAACAAGTTTTGGAAATATCCATGCTGAACCGGGCCTGCTGATGGGGACAGCGGGCGAGGACGGCCCTCAGGGCACAGAGCTAAGCATTACGCTCAGATCACCCCCGCAAGACAGAGCCCCCCCCCCCAACAGAGCGAGCTGGCACTGTAATGACGAGGCTGTTACCAGGGCTCCAGCGCTGGCACCACGATGGTGTTGAATCTGGCAGGCAAAAAGGCCACCTTATCCCCCTTCCTTAGTCTGCTCCAGCGTCTGCAGAAAGCAGGATCGCAGCGTACAGGCAGCCCGCAGACGTTCTCTGTTCTTCTAGGGCACGCAGGGTTTACAAGCTGACAGCTTAAAACACTCGACCCTTTGTGTGTCAGACAAGCCAAGCAGCATGTTGGGTCTCCTCCTCCTCTGTTTTTTCCAACATTATTTTCTGCATTTCCAAAACAGAGACACGTACATAAGGTAACGCGTTGCAGCACTTCGCGAAACATTTCCCAGAACACAACGATGGATATGGGACTGAAGAATCAACAAGACAGGTCAGACCAGGCGTGATCCCCTCCATCGCCAGACGACAGCTTAACGCTAGTCTAGGCATGATACACCAGGCCTACACAAGATTAAACTGAAGGTGACTCAGAGCTTTAAGTTCAAAACAGACATGAGTTTTGATCATACTTCACAGAAACGAACACAGAAACAGACAGCCAGCCTTCCAGAAAAATATCACCTTAAATTATAACTGTGGGGGACGGCGGTCACTGACGTCATCATGCGTAAATGTACATAAACACTGAAAGCTAGACACTGCCAGCTTTCACTTTTTAGCAATAGTATCACCCTGTAGCTGAACTGCTGCTTCGTCACCCATCTCGCTTTTCCAAAAAGCATTTAACAAACTTCCGCAATAAAATCCAACCACTATTTTCTTTAATGACCTCCTAACCCACACACACACACACACACGCTAGCTTTGCAGCGAATAAGCACGGTAACGCTACATAGCGGTTATCAGTATTGACCCATAGGAACACTCACGTTGCCAGCAGGACTTCTCACGACGGGACATTAAATTTGACAGGACAGTGCGACCGCAGATGCCTTAGCACTCAGCCGAAAGACGCCAAGTCGGGCATAAAACCACAAAAGCGCAGCCGGTCCATAACAGACACCATCCGCTCCGATTCTACTCGGGACGGCCCGTCTTGGGTTACAGCACCTGTCCGGCCATCTCCAGACGGGAGCCTTTAAGCTGTCATGAGCAGTAATTTTCCTGAAATGCTCTGAACTTGTGGTTAGCCTTTTAAAACCAGAACGCCACTCATGTTTTTAGCAGAGAAGCATCTGAGTTGGGTCATCTGCCACGTTAATTATGGTATCATCTGATGTCTGATTGTGCCTCAAAAATGCATTAGACTTAAAAAAAAATTTATTTGAAATTATTCATGAAGAACACCCAACTCTGCTTAACATACCACAATTAATGGTTTGAGTGCAACTGATCATATTTTTGCAAAAAAAAAATGGAGACATTAAAACATTTCCACTGACTTCCCAGTTAATAGGCTCATAGAGTAGTCATCACGATCGAGCCCGCTTTTTAATATGAACTTATTGAAATTTCCTTTGTGCATGAAATACACACAATTCTATATGGTCATCACCAGCACATTTTTAGTAGGCTACATAGGTTAAAAACTGAGATAATGCGAGAATGCACTTTACTAAAACTAAAAACATGTAGACTGTCAAATCACAGTCCAAAGACAATTCTGTATTATTGCAGGCGCCCTAAATGACTTATTTTAAAAGACGAATAAAAGCTGCATAATTGCAAACGACACGTACCATCACAAAACAGCATCTGTAAGGTTCAGAGCTGCGCGATATGCGGGAATTAAAGAGCCGAATCACTGGGCTGACTAAGCAGGCGACTTTGGAGGTAAATCTGGGAAAATGCGTCAAAAGGGGGCTTGATGTAGTTACATAAAACCGTGTAGGGAGAGCAAATTAACACAACATATAAGAAGAAAGTGTCGACGGGAGCTCAGTATCCGGACTGAGCACTTCTGGTTCCGAAACGGATTTTCTCCTTTCCTCTTTACCTGAATCTGGGTTTGATTGCCGCTGGCTGTGTGTCATGCCAGCTTCCCTCTGCTCCTTCAGCTCTTCCTCATCCTCTTCCACCCTAGCTTCGGCCATCGCCTGGCAAAACGCTGCAAAGCCCGAAAAACAATCACCCACATCCAGCTTTTATCGCCCAGTCCCGCCGCAGGACAAACATCCGATCCGGCAGTGAAAGCGGTCCAACAAATGCACAAAACACACATTCAGAATCGCCGCACTTTATAACCGCATGTAAACGTACGTCTAAATCTCGTTACCAGGGTTACAAAGCGGCGGTAAAGTTTCACCATAGTAAAAAGCTCCATTATAGCGGTACCTTCACAGCGAGGTCCGAACGCCGCGAAATAACAGGAAACCCGACGCCACTCCGTAACACGCTTTAGAAAGGGAAACGCGGAGCTTTAACACAAAGCTGCCACTATTTAATGTAACTCCCCAAGGCCTCCCAAAAGCATTTCAGTCATGGCAAGACATCCTGCTTGAAAGCGTGAATTAAGAGTCACACTGCGTGTCTGACTCCTTTATTTGCAGACGGGCGAGCAGTAAGTGCATTTCGACTCCAAAAGGCGTATTTCTGCCAAGCAGCCCGTAAAGTCTAAGGTTAGCAAGACGGCCCTTTAAACCTAAAGCTTAGCGTCCTGCCAGCAAGCAACAGGACAGACTGAAGCTGCCCAAGGCACCACCCAGATACTTGACTGTCAATTTTTTAACATGTTCAAACTCGTAAGGAAATTCAGAAAAAAGCGGAGCGATCATACCAAAGTACAGCGGCACAATTATGCATAATGCTGTGGAAGTAGTTTAAATGCAGATAGCGAAACACGGGGTCGTGTTTGTTAAAAGGGGGTTATTGATTTAATCAGTTGGGATAATGTAAAGGGCTTTCAGACAATGCAATATTGTGAAAATGCGCTATACAAATAAAATTGAATTTCGTTATTCAAAAAAAACAAATCAATTAACATCGGAGCCTTTAACATGCATGTCATCTACCTTGTAATGACGTTCTGTAATTTCCGATAAGACCTAATTTATCACAATATAATTACAAGTTCAATTATTTTAAATGATCACAGCTCCACCACGTATTTAACGCAGCCACTACCGCCGGTGCCTCGTCTGTCCGGAGTATCGTTAGGAGCGCCGGCGATATGAGGGCGATAGTAATTTATTTCGCCTTATTTATGGGTTGGCTTTACCCTAGACAGGTGTTTTTAATCAGCCGGTATTTTAGTTCTTAACGATTGTTTCCTTAATTTCCAGATTAGACGGTTTCACTTAACAGCATAACTGGATCCGTCACGATGATCCAGTCTCTCGTTACTCAATGCTTTGCAATCTATATAAAAAACACACCTACTCCTGAGTAAAGCACATGGGCAATTTAAGACAGTTTAAAGCTGGTGGTGAATGAATTTTAAAGTAGAGTTTAGCAGGTCATACACAATCCTACACAATACACAATCAGATTGCCCCTAAATGCTTCCACTTTGCAATAATACCACATACAGCTGACTAGAATATCTAGTAAGGAAGAAATTTCACAAAATGACATATAGCAAAGGTGACATCCTGTGACAGTACCACACTTGAATCCACTGAGCTCTACAGAATGACCTGTTCTTTCACAAATGTTTGTAAAATGCATGGCTTGGTGCTTGATTTTATATACCTGTGGCACTGGGTTTGAATGAAACACATTCAATGATTGAGAAGTGTGTCTCAATACTTTTGTCCATCTAGTGAATGTACAGGCAGGAGTGAAGATTGGGGTTGAGGCACAGGGTCAGTCATCTATCCATCCATGAGCCCTGGAGCATTTTGGGTGGTTATGGACCTTGCTGAAGGGCTCATAAAGTTTGTCACCCCAGATGGGACTTGACCCCACAATCCCTGGCTTAGGAGGCCAGTGCCTTATCCATTAGGCCACTGGGGCTGCAGATTTGTATTGCCCCTAAATGCTTCCACATTGCAATAATACCACATACAGCTGACTAGAATATCTAGTAGGGAAGAAATTTCACAAACTGACATACTGTATAGCAAAGGTGACATCCTATAATACTATGATGCTTGAATCCACTGAGCTCTTCAGAACAAGCCATTCTTTCAAAAATGTTTGTGAACTGCATGGCTTGGTGCTTGATTTTATACACCTGTGGCACTGGGTCTGAATGAAACACATTCAATGATTGAGAAGTGTGTCTCAATACTTTTGTCCATCTAGTGTATGTACAGGCAAGAATGAAGTTTGGGGTCAGTCATCCATCCATCAGCCCTGGAGCATTTTGGGTGGTTATGGGCCTTGCTGAAGGGCTCATAAAGCTTGTCACCCCAGATGGGACTTGAACCCACAATCCCTGGCTTAGGAGGCCAGTGCCTTATCCATTAGGCCACTGGGGCTGCAGATTTGTATTGCCCCTAAATGCTTCCACATTGCAATAATACCACATACAGCTGACTAGAATATCTAGTAGGGAAGAAATTTCACAAACTGACATACTGTATAGCAAAGGTGACATCCTATAATACTATGACGCTTGAATCCACTGAACTCTTCAGAACGACCCGTTCTTTCACAAATGTTTGTGAACTGCATGGCTTGGTGCTTGATTTTATACACCTGTGGCACTGGGTCTGAATGAAACACATTCAATGATTGAGAAGTGTGTCTCAATACTTTTGTCC